ATCGCTTCCCTACACCGTCCGTCCATCCGAGGGGCTGACATCTCCCCATCTCCTCCCGCAGGAGCTGTGCTGCCCCGCGGCTGGGCTGTTGGGCTTGGCTTTTATAAAGGTGAGTGTGGGAAAAGACGTCGGCGGAGCTGGGTCTCTTTCTAAGTGTGGATGTGGATGGTTTTCATGGCTCCAACTGAAGGACAACAACTCTGACCCAGCTACCCGTGTTGGTCTGAGAGCAGGGGACCGAAATCTGATCTGCTGGGTCGGGTCTAGAGGTCGGTCCAGCCTGGTTTTCTCTGCCCGGTACTGGTGAAAGCAGAGACTACCCAGGGGAAGCATGTCAGCCTGGCCATTTTCAGTGGTCCATCACCTTGTAGTCATGAACATCTACAGCTGTCGTTGGAGGGAACAGCCCTGTCCAGTCCTTTCACTGTCTGTTCATGGACCTATTGCCCATAACTTTGTGTAGATCCTGCTGCTGTCCTTGAAATGTAATCAGTTGTTGTCCTTTTCACTGTGATCAAGGAGAAGGGCAAGTGGTCAGAGATTCTCTTTCATGATTTTATTTCTATTTAGGGAGTGCATTCACTGTTGGGTCTTACTGGATTGATCAGAATCAACCTGCTGTCCTCACTCTGCCTCCTGGGTAGACTTGGACAGCTGTGTTAACGGGTGATGCAAACAGCGTGGCAATGTTACAAAGCTCTCCCTCTCCATCATACCCTTTCCTGTAACGCAGCTGGGAGGAGAGAGGGGAGAAGTGGCTTGCGCTGTGTCATAACCGATGTGACGAGTAACACCCTTCATCCTTTGTGTGTTGGTAAGAGAACGTCTGGCTTGGGATCTGCAGCCCGTGCTGGTGCCTCTGGGGCTCTGGCTGTGCCCCTCTGAGCTGAGTCTGGCCCCGGCACCTCCAGGACCCCTTTGGGCGGGGGGAGATGCTGCCGGATCCCCCTTTGCCTCCTCATCTCCAGTTGAGCGAGCCCAGCTCCCTCAGCCTCTCCTGGCCTCCACCCGCCAACGCAGCAGCCCTGCACGGGCTCCAGTTTGTTACGTAGGTCTCGTACTGGGCAGCCCCCAGCAGCTGCTCTGCCCCCCCAGTGCCCCGCAGAGGCAATGGCCTCTTCCCTGGACTGCTGCCTGCCTCTGGCCGGTGCAGCCCTCACCACTGCTGGGGCGCAGCCTTGGTAATCTCCTTGTCCCCTGCAATTCCCGCCTCCTTCTCCTCAAGCTGTTTTTTGTCTGGTGCATTTCTTTTTACCCAGTCTGCCCACCTGGTACTGTGGCATGGGTTTGGGGTTTTTTTTTTTCCTCCCTTGTGGAGGACTTCGTACTTCTCTGCCTCATCTGTCTTGCTGAGATGAGAAACCGGCGGCTGTTTTCGAAAGGTGATGTGGGAGTCAGTCTGCTGGGGGAACCACGTGGCGAACACTGGGATTTGCCATTTAAAATGGGTGCCCGTGGTGCTGTAATGGATTGTTTTTGAAGTGATGATTAAGCGCTCAGTGATTTTCTGTTTGACATGCCTTGCCTTGCAGTCCTGTAGGAAGCACCAAGTTGCCCTTGAGCTCCAGCAGCTAATTGCACCACAGACTGGTGTTCAAAGGCGTTTTCTTGTGTCTTCTGGACAGGAGCAGATATGTTAGACAAAAATAACAGAAAGAAAGATCATGTATGTGACATTGTGTTTTAACACACTTGTAATTTCCAGTGGTCTGTCGAGCATTGCAAGGATTGCTTGTCCCTTTCTGGAATTACTCTCCTGAGCTTCGATTGCTGAGCAGTGTTTCTGGACATCAAGCAAGCATCTAAGCGGTATGAAATCAAAACCTGGTAAGTATGGATCTGGTCTGAGGTTCCCCCGCTCCCGATGACACTGACATCGTGAATATGTTGTTCTAGGCAAAGCGAGGATGTGGCTGGCTCTAGCTCTGACGTCTGTGGTCCATGGGATGGTATCTGTGCAATGTGTTTTTAATTTTCCATGTTCTAAGAATCCAGAAGCACGGATGAACGTTGTAAGTATGACAGTGTTGGAACAGAAGCAGTAAGTGTCTGGGAAACAATCAGTTTAAAATGCTGATAGTTAAATACTACGTTTACAGATTACCTTGAAGGCAAGCATCGTGGAACCTTGAAAACATTATTCTTTGCTCTTTATTTCTTGCAGAGTGAAATGATCTCCTTCTGGGGATACCCCAGTGAGGAGTATGATGTGGTGACGGAAGATGGCTATATCCTTCAGATTAACAGAATTCCTCATGGGAGAGGAAATGCTGGAAGCCAAGGTAAAATTGGTATTTGTGTCATACAGTAAGCCCACACCTTATGATGTCTTCTCATTGGGATAACGGGGCTTGTGCAGGAGATTTTTCAAGGTCCCCCCCTGGCTTTGGTATGGGTAGCCTCTGTTTTGGTCAGTAAGAATTTGTAGGGAAGGCTGATCCCTTGCAGTGATGTTTTCCCACCCTGCGTGGACCTGAGCGTGGGCGATGCCCCATGCATCCAGCAGGCTGCAGCCCTAGAAATGAGAAGCAGCCCATCCATCCATCCTACCCACTTGGTGCCCCATGCACATCTTGGATTTTCTCTGGGAGCGTGGCCTGTAGTACGTGGTCCTGCAGCCATGTGGCAGATAGTAAACCGGTTTGCTACTCCTTGAGAAGTTTCCAGGGAACGGTCTTGTCCTGTGAGGAGTGACGACTGGGAGGTTCTAGATCCATCAAAAGGTGCACCTTGTCCTCTCACCTCTCCAGGCATCTCCATGTTTGCCTGCAGAGCTCCCTGGGCAGCCCAAGTTCTGCTAACTCTGCCGGAGAACCCCTTCTGCCAAAAGCCTGCTGAGATGCAGAGCCTGGGTACTGCTCTGCTTGTGTCTCTGAAGACACCCGGCTGGGCAGTGTCCTTGGAGACAAAAGCAGATGCTGTGAGATGTCTCTGAAATAGCAATATCGCATTACGTATTATAAATATTTATGATAGTAATGTGGGCCCTGCCACAAGGTGGGGGAGATGGGTTCAATCCTCTTCCCTATCTCCAAGTGTTCAAATCTTTCCCTCCCAGCCCCGAGAGCGTGGCCAAAGTCACGGTAGGCCAGATGGAAAAATGTATTCTGCCTCTTGGTGAAATTTGTCACTCCAGCACAGAACGCATGAGCGCATCTTGGTGGGACATGGCTAGGGGTGGATAAGACCTTCCAGCATTGTTCAGGGGTTGGAGAAAATAAGGAGTGTGGGAAGACTTTGAGTTTTTTAATACTGTCCCTCAGCTCTGGGTGTTCACTTTCTTAATGATAGGTCATCTGCAGAGAAGGTGGGAAGGGGTGTAGGGGATAAAAGGCAAAGTGCTCTGGGATATGGCACACCTGGTGCCATATCTGCTACATAGCAAACCTGTTTTACTGAAATCAAGGGGGACAGAGCTACCTAACACCAACATAAACCTCCATGCACTTTGGCTGCCATAATTAAGGAGGAAAAGAGTCCCTAATCTGCATCAAATGATAACAGACAGCATTTAAAAAAAAGAAGTCATCATGATTCCTGTCTTCCAGGTCCAAGACTCATCGCATTTCTGCAGCACGGATTGTTTGGAGAAGGCAGCATATGGGTTACCAATTTGGCCAACAACAGCCTGGGCTTCATTCTCGCAGATGCTGGCTATGATGTTTGGATAGGCAACAGCAGAGGGAACACTTGGTCCAAGCGACATCTGGTCCTATCTCCCAAATGGGAGGAATTCTGGGCCTTCAGGTAAACAGGTAGTTGGAGGATCTAAGAAACAACTGACTTCATTTGTCTCCAAACGGTGATGCTCAAGGAGGAATGAACCAGGCTGAACTGGCATGTCCACTTATTTTAGGTGAAAACCCCAAGGACACACTTAGTAGGATGAAGAAGTTTGTGGGGTTGTCCTACCCTCCCTGCTGGTTTTGTGGTTTGTTCATGATGGTTGTTCAGATGTAGATGCTACACCTCTTGGTAAGATGACTGCTCTTCCTTCTGCAGCTTTGATGAAATGGCTAAATATGACCTCCCAGCAATTATAAACTTTATTGAACAGAAAACGGGACAGAAGCAGTTATATTACATTGGTCATTCGCAAGGCACCACTATAGGTAAGTGAGTCTTTTTGACTGATCTTGATGACAACATACGATTATCTTTGGGATTTGTAAAATAGGTCTTACTAAAGTTAAACTATATACATAAGAATGTCTTGAAAGAGTAAGGTTTTTCTTCTTTTTTTTTTTTCAGCTTTTATAGCCTTTTCCACTATGCCTCAGCTGGCTCAGAAAATCAAGATGTACTTTGCTTTAGCACCTGTGGCTACAGTTATATTTGTTCGAAGTCCATTGAAAAAGCTCGCATTCTTTTCTGACTATGGGCTTAAGGTATGTTAATCGAGACTATGTTTTGCATAGCCAAAATGAATGCAGTTTTTCATAGAGATTGTGAAATTACCTGCACAGCACATTTCAAATAATTTAGAGAGAGAGGAACTCCATGCTCCATCTATTTTCATAATGCAGGGAATCACACATCTTAATCCAGAGTCTTTCTGTCCTGTCCTGAATTTACTCCCCAAAATGTTCTGGCAGAATTAGAGCCAAGAGAGCAAGTGGTATGGGCAGACATGCGTGCAGCAAGTGTCAAAATGTTGGCCAAAAAACCCGATGTGAATCGAATCCTACCATTTAACGCAAGAGTACAACGATGTAAGAAGTCACGCAAATCAAAATCTTGGCACAGAAACATTTAACGGGGTGCACAGAAGGGTAAAATGGGCAACCTCATACCTCAATATTGGGGTAAAATAGAAGCTATGAAGTGGTGGTACTTTCTGGAAAAGCATGACCAGTCTTTGTATTTTAATGGTATCTTTGCAATTTTACAGGAGATGTTTGGCACCAAAGAGTTCCTACCGCACACTGCCTTGGGTGAGCTGGTCCTTTCCAAATTCTGTGCCCGCTCAAAGACCTGCAAGAGCATCTTGTCTATGCTCTTTGGATTTAACTGGAAGAACGTAAATATGGTACGTAGGAATAAATCAGCAGAGGGCCCCCAGTATCATTCTGAAGGACAAAGCCTTGGCTGCCCTGTTTTCTGGAGGTGAATGAAACCTTTTGTGAAATGCACTCGTCTTCTTTCAGAGCCGAGTAGATGTGTACGCGGCGCACTCTCCAGCAGGGACTTCAGTACAAAATGTAATCCACTGGTTGCAGGTAAACTTTCCCAGCTACTTTCCTATGTGAAACAGAATACAGAGTATTTTAATGGTCCTTTCTGGTCAGTCTTCAGTCTCTTGTATCGCTCTGCTGCAACACGTCAGTGGTATCTTTGTCGGGTTTGTTTTCATCCCTTCATAAAACGCTCAGCAGCTTCTTGAGCTGCCTGTACATCATCGAGTAGAGTGGCCCCAAAGGAGCGGATCTGAAAAGAGAAACATTTGGGGCTGAGGACCCTGCATCCACAGCAGGCACATTTCAGGGGTCTTATTTTGGACTAGCTCCATCTTGCCCTGCAGCCCGAGTGCTGTTAGCAGTCAGACTGCGGCAGAGATTCTCCTGGACGGCATCCAGTGAAGCTTAATACCAATTAAGTTGATTATTTCTCCTTCTTCCCATTGTGAGCATTGAGAACAGTCACTACCAGAGCCCCTCTGACACTGAAATGGTGCTGTGCTGCTCTCATCCTCTCTTCCCCAGGCTAAATGTACTCGGTTGTTTGCAACATTTCTTTGTTGATCATGAATTCAAATCCATAGGACAAGGGGTAATGATTTTAAACTAAAAGAGGGTGGATTTGGACTGGATATAAGGAAGAAATTTTTTATGCTGAGAGTGGTGAGACACTGGCACAGGTTACCCAGAGAGGTGGTAGATGCCTCCTCCCTGGAAACATTCAAGGTGAGGTTGGACGGGGCTCTGAGCAACCTGGTCTAGTTGAAGATGTCCCTGCTCGTTGCAGGGGCTTGGACTAGACGACCTTTAAAGGTCCCTTCCAACCCAAACCCTTCTGTGATTCTATGAAATTGCCTCTTCTTGATCTCTCCTGGACCCTCACCAGTTCATGCATCTTCTCTGAAGTGTGTGCCACCGTCTGTGTGCACAGCACATCTTCCTAGGGTGGCACTCCTCCTCAGAGATCCCAAAATAACTTTGTTGGTTTTGCAGCAAGAACACACACTCCATCTCCTGAAGTGTTGTTGCTCAGTGATGTTAGTCCTCATTCTATATATGTCCACCAGTTTTTCTTTTCTATGTATAATTTTTATAAGACTTCAGTTTATCTGATGAGTAGTGAGTGACAAAGAGCAAAACTAGAGGCAATGAGCACAAATTACAGCCCAGGGAGGTCAGGTTGGAGGTGGGGAATCAGTCCTGCCTCCCCCGGAGCAGGGAGCAGCCCTGGGACAGGTGCCCCCTGGGAGACAGGGGGTCACCATCCTGGGGAGGTTCAGGTCCTGGTGGGGTCAAGCCGTGGCCACCCTGACCTCGCATTGCTGCTAGTCCTGCTCCAGTTAGACAAGTGATGTTCAGAGGCTCCTTCCAACCAGCACACCTTTCGTCGTGTCGTTTCAGGCCAGTTCTTCAGTCTACAAGGAATATTTTGAGTTCTAATCCCATTTTCTAGAATATTTTAACTTCCTCCCATCCTGGTGTTAACCACAAACCATATAAACATAATCTCTGATCACTTATCCAAATTAATGACAATAATTAATTGTACTGGGACAACAGCAGACATGTGAGATACACTTGAAAAATCTTGCCAGTTCAATGATGAAGACCAACTTTTGAGTTTCCTCTTTTAACCTGATTGCACCCCCACAGAACTATGATTTCATTTAGACCATTGCGTGTCTGAATTTGCTGCAGGGAGTTCAAAGCGGTGCGCTGAGAGCTTATGATGGGGGGAGCATGTACAACAGTCTTCGCTATAGACAGGTAAGCTGCTTCCAGTGGCCAAGGTCATGGTCTTCCCCTTCCCTCACACATTCTGTTCCCATTTGTTCCTGGTGTGATTCCTCTGAATTTATTGTCCTCTCCTCACAAATTGGGCGTGCAAGTAGCAAGTCAGCAGGACCTCTGCTCGAAACAACGGTATTTTCTATTTTCTAAACTCTGTTTAACATATAGAGTTCCTTCTATATGGAATAAAGTATTAGATGCTTTCCACTTATCCAGCTTTTTTGTTAGAGTCCATAATCTGCCACAGAAAAGCAACGATAGTGACTGTGTGACCAGTTGCTACCTGAAATCTGTAAAACTGAAGTCTGCATGCCAGCTGTAAATTGTCTAGCCGTGATGGAAAGCAAGCACGGTGCTGAGCCCTTCTGCCACCCAGACCAAAAGTCGCAAGGTGGATGGTGAGCAGTTCGCTCTGCATCCCTTGGCAGCTCAGGCAATTCTTGTTCTGTGGCAAGAGGAGTAGCAGAGACAGGAAAAAAGCTTCTTTCTTCCTTAAGCGAGAAAAATCAAATTGTTCATAAAGTGGCATGATTCTTGACTGGAATAATTATACTGCAGGTAAGGAGATACGATGCTGACAAATCACCTGATGGCAAGTCCTCCTGGTCCTGAGCTAAAGCAACCCTCCAGATGTGTCTTATTTTCAAGAACTTGCTTCTGAACACTTTCCTGCTGTTACGAAGCTGAAGGAAAGGCTAGTGCTTGCATGAGGCGTAACCACAAACCGCAGCAGAGCTGGTTGGAAGGGACCTCCAGACGTCTCCAGTCCAATCTCCTGTTTGAAGCAGGATGATCCACCAGCATTAGATCAGGGCAGCTAAAATTTTGCCTGCTTATCAAAGTTGATCAAATTGTCTGTAGTATCAGGACCAGAATTCCTAGCAGGGCAGAACTAATTTACTATTTAATTTACATTAAATTTACTAATTCAATTTACTCATTAAATTGCAGCGCATAAACACCACATCTTTTAGTAAAATGTATCTTCTTTCTAGAAGAAAACCTTTCCAGTTTTGGGTTGGTTTGGGGTTTTTTTTCTCCTTAATTCCCAAAGAAAAGCAATCGCTCTTGCGCCAGTGCATATTTTATTGCGTTGCATCGATGTCTGTCCTTTGCGAAACCCTGGTTTTCCGTCTCTTCAGATGGGTCCGCCACACTACAACGTGAAGGACATGAAAGTGCCAACAGCCATCTGGAGCGGTGGAGTGGACTGCCTGGCTGATCCCCGGGACGTCACCCTCCTGCTCCCCCAGGTCAGGAACCTGGTCCACCACAAAGTGATTCCCCAGTGGAACCACCTTGATTTCGTACTGGGGCTCGATGCAACCGAGGTTTTGTACCAGGACATCGTCGACATGATGAAGAGGCATCCGTAAAGCTGCTGTTTCAGTTTAACACATTTTTTGCTGATGTGTCTTGTAGGATTAATGCTATCTTTAATGGGTTTTGAAATTGGCCGCTGTTTGGACCACCTGAATGTAGCTGGTTAAAATGTTCTGCTTCTAACTGGAGCAGTGACAGGGTGGGCAGAGGAACCTTTATGCTATTGCTGACTGGCACTTCATTTCCTTTCTTCTTCCTTTTTTCCTCCCTTCTTTCTTTCTTTCTGTTTTTCTCTTTTTTCCCTTCTTTTTTCTTTTTTTTCCCCCCGTTTATTTTTTTCTGGGTTTGGGTTTTTTTTTTCTGTTGTTGGTTGTTTTGTTTTTTCCCTTCATCAGCCGTGTTTATTTGCAAAGTACGGTAAACACAGATGAGGAAACTGGGTGTTGAGATGTTTCACTAAGACTGGTACCGCAGTGATCTGTTCTCTGAGACGCAACGGACCCTGCGTAGCCTTTTCCGTGTACTTAGCTTTATAGCGGCTTCAGTTCCCCTGAGACCTGGGGGTCTGCACCCCCTTGTAACGCAGCTGATTCTTGGCTTCATCAGAGACGCAAAATTCACTGTTTTTCGTCTCAGAGCTGGCATTGTTGCTCCTGGACCTTTGAAACTACCAATGTGGATCAGAAAGAGATCGAACCGGTCTGTGGTGGAAAGCCACAGCAGAAATACATCTTCTTAGAGGCAATACAGTACTAGGGGTTTTGAAGTTCAATAAAAATTGTAATTAATCACATTTTTAATGTGGGTGGGTGTTTTTTATTTTTTTTTTCAACAACTGAGAAGCCCAAAAGGAAGAATCGAGACAGAAATAAATCCTGAAAAGTAATTTCGAGAAAGACAGTCCAGCGTGTGATTCTGATACACAATGTGCAAAATCCAAATGAAAAAGGGGCTTAAGGGAATGTACAAAGTGCCCGCGTCTTAGAGTTTATCTGAGATGTTTTGGTAATAAGATTGAGTCATTCAATTTGTGTTGCATATTTTCTGACTAAAGTGCTTTCTTCAAATCCAGGATGTATACAAGTGACCACGCAGCACTGCAAAAATTATCCCTGGTAGTGCATCATTTATGCAGCAGACCGGGCATGTGGGCAGCTGCCAGCCACAGAGGGTTCAGTCTGGGTTTGGCTTTATTATTATCAATATCAGTACTTTACAGAGAAATAAGATGAAGTCTGGCTACTTTAAGAAATAAGACTTCTACGTATTTGTGTCTTTACAGGTTTACAGTAACAGTTAACAGCAGAACTGTTACACCTGAGTTCACGTGAAACAAAAATTTGCAGATCCTCTCTAAAACCCAACTCAGTGCATTGACTTTTACGTAGGAAGAGAAGAAGAGTTGGCTTGGATTTCAACGTTAAACGTGGTGATGGCTATTTTCCCCATTTTTAGCAATATTTTAGACTAAGCAAGGCACGTGGACCACAAGAAGACAGGTCAGGGAGTTATTCCTTGTCTTAAACAGCTCAGTCTGCTTTCTGCCGTGAGAAAGAAGCCTGCTCATGCCATGCAGCACCGGGATGCTCTCTAGCTGCCAGTGTCACGTTGACCAGTTGTTCTTTAAAAATAACTATTTTTCCTGTGCTGTAGTACAGGAAATGTTTTTCAGCCTTCAGGGCAGAAAGACATCATCCTTCAACCTCGCTGGTCGCCCCCAGTACGACACCTCTTACAATGGATTGCATGTCCTTGGAGGCGGTTCCCCCGAAGAAGAGAGAGAAGAGGGTCTGCCACGGTGTGGAAAGCTCCTTGAGGAAGGTTGTCGTTCCCTTTTAGGGGGACTGGAAAATTTCTTTCTGAATTTTGTTCCAGCCAGTCCCTTTTGGAATGGGCGCGAGCTGTATTATTTTTGGTTAGACTTGCAGATCTGGCTGTTCCGTTTACCCTGAGTGGCCTCATTTCTGTCTTCAGTTCAACGCGCGTCCGTAGACCAACCGAACGGGTGGGAATCCCAGCGGGAAGCCCCACGCACTGCACCGTGCCGCACCTCTTGCGCCACGGCATTTACAGAGAAAGGGGTGATCTCAGAGGTGCCGCGGTGTGTCGATGACATTTTCTTTAGCCTGAAGGAAGAACAGTTATTTTTTTAATAACCACATCCTTGTTTCTGCCAGCCAAAATTCTGAGGCTTGTCAGAAAAACTTGATAAATGTGTTAATGATGTGACCATCAGAAGAATTGGCTTGTTTCAGGGAGGAAGAATCTAGTTGTGAGGCGAAGCAACATTTCGAGGAGAAATTACTCGACGTCGTGCAGTCGTTACTGCCAAATTTTCAGTCTCTCATGCTTCCTTTAGAATTGCCTGGAAGATCTGCGTCACCTAGAAGCAGCCATGAAAGGCAAAGTAGATGTCCTTGTGCGGCCCTTGCTGATCGCTGTAGGATGCTACTCTTCGCCGGCTTGCATTCATTACGGTTTCCTGGTGTATCACGAGGCCACGTTGGTTGCAGTAAATAATTCACGTTTAAATTCTTTTTTCACCCTGTTTTCATCCTAAGTATGTTGCTTCTGCTTTGCCTCATTCCAAGAAGCTTTCTGTAAAATTGTCTTTTGAGGCAATGCTTTTACCTAATCAGATTTTTCAGTTTGTTCAAGACAGTCTGTTTCCAGTAAATACTTTTGTCTCTTCTAAAAAAATGACTTTTAAATTTTAGCGGATGATCAGATTATCGGATTAGGCAATTGTTTACTTTTCTATCTTTAAGAAATTCTCTAAGCATCTTTTGGTAGTACAAATTCTTGCGTAAGTTAATCCTGTTTAAACACATCTTTTTTTTTTTTTTTTTTTTTAATTCTCTTGCCAGTTATGCAGAAACAATTTGCCCAAAGCAAAAAAAAATTTAAAAAAATTGCAGCTTCACATGGAATTTTGCCATAGGTACAAAAAGGATTTTTCCCGGATTGCTTTGTCTCCTTTGCTGTGCCTAAACATTTTCTTTCTTTTTTTAAAACCCTGAATCAAAGCTGTGACCCAAATACTTGCTGAAATGAAAATAAATCCGCTCCCAGCAGCGGAAGACATTTGCAGATGAGACCCGTGGCACGTGGCTGGACTCGGGAGGTGGATATCAATAAATGAAGAAACTCCCAAATTCTTCCCCGGGGTGGGTGTGCTCGGTGGACACCCCGGGAGCTGGGAAACACGGTGCCCCTTGGTGGGACCGCTGGGATGGCACCCGAGCCCTCCATGCCCACCAGCACCACCATGAGGCCATCACCACCCTGCGAAGAAGACCTCTTTTGTTGTGTATGGTCTTGGTGGGAAGGAGTGATTTGAAGCTCGACCAGGCTGCACGCCAGACTCCACCACCTGCTGAGTCAGCAGGTTGTCTCTTGGCTGACAGACAAACACACCCCGAAATAAAAGGATGTCAAACAGGCTTTTGCCACAGGGCTCACGGGCTCCTGGAAGAGCAAGTCTCAGCTGGCTGGCTCGAGGAGGAGCTGAGCTGCTGCTGCACCAGCTGAAATCCTGAGGTCCCCAGGGGAGCAGCGGAGGTTTGTGAAGGGCTCTGAAGGCAGGGGGAGAGAGCCACAGGTGTCACAAGAGGGACAGTCTCAGCACCGGTCTCTTGTCAACACCAGCTGGTGGGGTGGTCGGGCTGGTCCTGGCCTGATCCTCCCGGCCCCACAGGTCTCCCTTTCTCCCTGCCCGGCGCAGAGACATCGGATGGATGCCGGGGGCAGCTTTCCAGTGCCTGGAGGCGCCCAGCGAGCATGGGTCCTTGTTGCTCTTTATTGCTTGCTTCCCCATCCACCATCCTGGAGGTCATGCTAAACCCATCGCCGGAGAACACCCATCTTGGTCTTAACCCACAAGGGCTGCCAACTGTTCCACCCTGTGATACCTCCAGCAAAGGTTTGGGAAAGCAGCGGTCTGCTTCTGTGTTAACCACAGTGCCACATCCCCAGACCCTGCCCGGGTTGTCCTCTTGGCATCTCCTCTGGGCGCAGAAGCAATACCACCTCCTGCTGTCCTTCTCCTCCAAGGAGCCACCAGCCCCAACCCCAGGCACACACAGGGGGTTAAGGCAGGCTGCGAAATCTGACACAAACCAGTCAGTCTTGTTTCAAGCGCCAGCAGGTTCCCCAGCCAACACCCTCTTCATCAAACCCTCTCCGCAATGATTGGCACCCGGACCTGCGGGTGCGGGGTGCTCTCGTTGCTGGGACAAGGACGTCATGGCCGGTGGAGAAGGAGCCCCAGGGCCAGGCGGCATGGGGCCGGAACGCCGAACGCCCTCTGCGAGGGTGTGCACCGGGTAGCTCAGTGGTTTCACACAAAAGGTGATGTAGAGGCACGTAAGCAAAATTTTGTAAGCAAAATTCGTCGTGCTACACATGCGTTTTAGCCAAAGATCATGGCATACCCAAACCAGAAATCAGAGAGGAACAGAGATGCTCTTGTGCCTGCTCTGCCTTTTATGTACTGAAATTGTATCAGAAGTGAAACAGCCAGAAGGCAAAAGGCAGGGTTGAAGTCTGAAGACTGCCAGGGGAGAGGGAAAATCATGAGTGTTATGAGACTTCAGACAAAGGGGTCATGCCAGGCACAACATGAATTTCATGGTTAATATTTCCTCTTACTTCTCCTCTGCTCACGTCTTGCCTTACGTCTTCTCACAGTTCCCAGCTTTCTGCTCCTTCACCAGGGATTGTTCCAGTCTCTACGATTTAATTTCTGATTTTTTTTTTTTTTTTTTACAGCTATGAACAGAAGTGGTAGCTGGCCATTTTTTTCATTTATTAATTTTTTTTTACCCTAGCCAGAACATGCAGTTGAGAAAGCAGATATTTGTAGGTGTTAAATACATTTGTATTTCACGTTCTTATTCAGAAACACCAAAGAAGTTGAGGGGAAAAAGTTGTGTCTGGAAAAGGATGTCCCTCTACTAACAAGATATGCTGGGAAGAACCAGACAGCAGCTGGAGGCAGGAGAGAAATGAGAAGGAGGGAAACTGATAATCCATCCCATTGCTGCTGTGATTT